ATTAAATTAGGAAAAAGTACACCTCAAGTTTGTCCAGACAAATGAAGAAATATGCAAATTCTGTTAAATTCTTCCCAGATTATCTGAAATTCCATCACCACCCCAAACACCCCATGTGCAGAGTATGCAGTTGATATAGTTATTCCCAGCATGGAGAAGGCTGTGTTTTACTTTTTCTACAGTGAGCTACGTTTTCCATGGTGAACTCTATGGAATTCAGTGTTCCTTCCCTTCACCTTTAATGTCTGGAAGCATACATTCAAAAGCAATACACCTTATGGATGTTAAAGATGAGGAACCTCTACAAAAGAACTGGCAACACAAATGCAGCACTAACATGGGGCCCTTTCATACTGCATAATTATAGCACTATGACACTACTTTAACTGCCATGCCTATCCACATCCTATAGGGGTTTGTAATTTGGTGAGGCACTAGAGTTTTCTGGCTGAAAATTCTACATTTGTTGTTGTTGTTAACTGCAAATCCCAGAATTCCATAGGATGTTGCCTTGGTAATTAAGATGGAATCATAGTACTATAATTCTGTAGTGCAAAAGGCCCTGTAGTTAATACCCAGGGATTCCAACCCAGACTTTTAAGAATTAAGTACTGAAACCCTCAATGGATGAATCTGTCAATTTTACTTTTTTAAAACTTCAACATCTTCCCAACCTCCCCCCCCCCTTTGAGGTGGGATGCACATTTTGTTATCAAAGGTAAACTGAAATAAAATTAGCATTCGTTCCTAAGCCTTGACTCCATTTTAAACAAGTAATGTACATTTTCATAAAGAGCCACTGTAGCGTAGTGGTTTGAGTGTTGGATTGTGACTCTGAAAACTAGGGTTCAACTCCCAGCTTGGACATGAAACCCACTGGGATTTCCTTGGGCAAGGCACATGCTCTCAGCCTCAGGGGAAGGCAGTGGCAAATCTCCTCTGAACAAATCTTGCCAAGAAGCCCCCATGATAAATTTGCCTTAGAGGCGGAAATACTTGAAGGCACACAACAACTAATACGCTTTCAAAACTGGATTCAGACTAGAATCCTGAGACATAGGGGCAACTACTTGTGGTGTCAAAAAAGGCAAGCACCCATGATGTTACAAGGAGCGGCCTCTGGTAATATCACTGAGCATGATATATTAAGCATTAAGCATATAATTCATATTGAAAACAACAAGTTTAACAAACGAGAAAAATACACACATATTTCAAGCCAGCGCTATCACCCTGAGATTCCTCCCCCTTAGCCTGATGAATGGAAAAGAGAATCAGGGCCTGGAAAGCTGGCAACCCTCATTCAGAAATGCACCAATAACCACTTAGGTGCCTTCAGTTTGGGACGTGGCTACTCCACTCTTAAAGTACACAGAGACATTCTGAATCAAGAAACCTGAAGTCTTTTTCTCTCACTGAAATTAATAATGTTTGTAGGTACGTTTACTATGCACCTGTTATTCTGCTTTAGGTAATTGTGGCAAGAAGCAAAGGGCTGCACATGTATTAGCCAACCTACTTTGCTTCCTTCTACTTTACAAGACATTGCCCTGCTCATTTTGTTCTCGATATTGTCATCGCCATAAGAACCAGAAACTTCTTTACAGTTGAAATTGAAAATTTCAGAATGCTGAATGTTCCACCTAATCCCAGTTTGGGAGCCTGACTTTTGAATCCCTGGGACCTTGGCCTTGTGAAAGTTGCATTAGCAAGGCTGCCACCTACTGATCTCCTCTGACACCACTTTCTGAAAAGGAAATTCCATTTGAGGTTGGTTATTGATGGACGTTTTCTATGGTGAACCCTATGGAATTCAGTGTTCCTCCCCTTCACCTTTGGTTTCTGGAAGCACACCCAAAACTGCTTTTCAGAGCACAACCAGTTTTTCACCTCCCTGGATAACTTGTGCTGTCTCCACAAAAAGTATGTGCACACAATCCATTGGTCTTAGGGTGCCTGAAGAGCCCAACTTTCAAGGAAAGATAGTTCAGCCACCCATCTTAGCACCGTCTTTCTATATCAATGTGATATAGTGGTTTGAATATTGGACTATAACTCTGGAGACCAGGGTTTGAATCCCCACTGAGCCATGAAGCCCACTGCGTGACTTTGGGCAAGTCACATTTTCTCAGCCTCGGAGGATGGCAATGGCAAACTCCCTCTGAAGGAACTTGCCAAATAGGGTTGTCTTAGGATAGCCATAAGTCAGAAAAGGCTTGAAGGCACACAACAACAACAACAAAAACAACAAACGTCCTGATAAGCACTCTCCATATGTCCAAACCATGAGGCCTCCTAGATTTGCTGGAGCCTAAACCTGAAACTCTAGACCAGGGGTAGGCAACCTAAGGGCCGGGGGTTGGATGTGGCCCCCTGAGGCCTTTGGACCGGCCCCAAGCCGATCCTGCCG